TCAGCTATTTTACGCACAGCTATGGTTCCACAACTGGATTAGATTACACAGCATTACAAGGAACAGTGTAACCCGAAAAAATTTTTAAATATTTAACATTCAGTAACACACAGGGTCAGCTGTCGGTTGTTTGCCCTATTCTTGTTATTCCTGAACTGGATTAAAAATCTGCCTCCTCTTCAGCTTCATTGATATTTCAATGAAAACCCAATGAGGCAAATAAAGACTTTAAATTCTGCAGAAGATAAAAGAGGGTTGAATGAATAAATATAGCTGCAAACACTGGCAAAAACCGAAGTGCGATGGACTCTCTGTACACGAGTACTGAGAGACTTGAACAGAATCGTTTACTATACAACCGCAGCAACCTAAGTCCTGGAGCCTGGGCCTTTGGCAGTTTTTGTGGTGTGCCTGCAGTAGCAAGGTGCCCCTAAGATACTCAGATGCCTGCGTGAGGCTTCTGCAGCCGGGCTTTCATGGGTACTTGGCAACAGGCATCTTTATAATACCCTTCTGCAGCAGTCGATAACTGATGCTATCTCAGTGGATGCTTCCAGCTATCTCGAGGAAAAAAGGAGCAATGCAGAAATTATGTCATAGAATGCCCACTTTCTGCATGAATTACGTAAAACAGAGTCTATCCAATGGTATAGAATGTAAAGGTATTTTGAATACCAGTGTTTGAATTGGTTTTAAAATACCATTCCTTTTACAGACCTCTTTCCCACTTTTCATTTTTGCCAGATGTGAACACCAGGGTTTTGTACAGACTGTGGAATACTTGAACTATTCTGTGCAATTTCTACAATAAATCTGACTATTAGAACAAAAAAGAGAAATACGGAAAAACCAGAAAATTCTCTTAAGGACAGTGCACAGCCTTACTTTCACAGATACACCAAGTTGAACAGGGTACTCTTCACAAAACCTTTCAAAAATATCTCTTTAATTTGCAGAGCTCTGTCTCTTTGGTCTATCATTACTGCTTTTCTCCTTACTGTCCTGCTTTTCTGCCAGATAAAAAGGCTTGCTTTATGCCCTTAACTTCAAGAACTAGCACCATCAAGACAGGAAAATTGAGCTTAACCAAAATAATTCCCAGCTGCAGTGAATGGGCCATGAGCTTGTGATGCACAGCGAGGTGTGCTGGGCATGGACAAGTTGGTATCTGGATTCTCAGAAGTGCAAAGATTTCTACGTGCTGCTTTCTACAATCATAAAAGTCAGATTAAACTGATGGACTTACATACAGCAAATGCAAGGGGGGCTGAGACAGGTTGAGATCCCTAACACACTTCACTGCCTTGATTCTCTAAACAAAATGTATTTGGAAAATACTTTTCCTTCTCAAGTCCTAGATATCATTTGTTTAGCTGAATGTCATTAAGGCTCCACTTAAATTAAAAACAAACAAACAAACAAAGCAAAAAAGACAATAAAGGGAAGCATAATGAGTTTTTCTTGTAAACTACTTGCTTTAAAATACCACAGAATGCTGTAAGAGAAAATCACACTTATGAAAAGTCAAGTTATACCCAATATACTTTGCAGGACAGCAAAGTACTGCCATTAGCATTGTAAAGCCCTTCCTGCACTGATTAACTGATAACTTCCCGTTATTTTGCACTGATTTATTAGCATACACATCTTTCAGCAATGTCCTGTAAACACAGTCAGTGTTTCTACTACACCGAGCTTTTCCTCCTTCTCAGAACACAGCAAGTTTCTCCGGGAGAGGGAATGCTAAGCAATCTAGGAGTTTAAAACTTCCATAGACTCCATGTTAAAGCCACAGCAACCTACCCTCCCTACTTTTGTTCACTTTACCTCTTAGATTTATATCTGGGCAAATGGGTGCCCATGAAAGTCTTTGAAATCAGGAGCTTTAATAGATGGCAAAACCAGCAAAGAGCAAAGAATATGCTGAGGGGTGAAAAACCTATAGCGGTCTCATGCACAAATATATACACTCACCACCTGCTTTAATACAGTGCTATAATGTAAATGCTCTCAGTGTCACTCATATAGGCTAAAACAAGCACAAAATGCCATTTATTAATCAAAGCACATGACTTTAAATATACCCCATGTTTCCTTCAATTTTTAAAACATAATTAACCCTTCACTCACTAGTTGTTTGGTGGAAATGTCATGCAAGAGCCTCATAAGTCTACATGCTTCAGTAACTGACCAGTGCCTCCACTGGAGGTGCTCACACTAGCTGTGGAACCAGAAAAAAATGTAGATATTTTGTGACATATACACTTAGTGATGTTAGGTTGCCATTTGTGGCGGTGTGCTCCCCCCTTGTCTCTGACTCCCCCTCCTTTGACCTCTTTCATGTGATAACTACCTGTGGCAGTGGTGATAGATACGTCTGATCTGTCTGGTCGTGAAGGATGCACCCAGTGGATGCGAAGGAGACAGATAACAATACAGTAGCCAAGGGCTATTGTGGAATGTGCCCACCTAAGCACAGTGGTCAGTATGAGCCAATTACCTTACCCCCATCAATAGCGAGCAGCCCAGGAGCCCTTGGAGCTCTCCTGCGCGGCAGCGGGCTGCACACCAGGATCTCCCCTTGAGCAGGGACGCCTCTCAGGGTTACTCCTCGAGGTTGAGAGATTCCTTACCACGACAGATTCTCGGTAAGTGACTAACAGCATGCTAACTTGGAAATCTTAGCTAAGTGACATAAAGGATTAATTGCACATATATAATCCTTTAGACAAAAACCGTTGACCAAGTCTGGGACTAGGATTGGATCCAGCCGCACCCAGACTCCTCTCTGAGGGAGTTTAGAAAGCAAGGGGATCTTTTCTGAACCTCATGACTCAACGGGAGGGTCTCCCTGACAGTTTTGTCTGACCCTGTCCTCTGTGCAGTAAATAACAAAGTGTACCTTGCCATCGAATCTTATAAACTATTGTCACATTTACCATTGAACTTTGTTAATTCACTGTTTTACACCAATAAACCACAATATTTTTGCCTCCCTCTCACTCCATCCGTGACACCATTCGTGGAAATTCTACCACCCAAGAGGCACTGCATCCGCACGGTTGCCTCTCAGTATCCAAAATTCACCATAATTTAACTCCAGAAAAACTCCAGGTCCCAAATGGCAGCGAGCAGCATTGCTGAGACCTACAGAAAGTCACTGCGTGACTTACAGTTCACCCAGCCTAGCGAGCCTTAAGATTTGAAATATTACAAAACTACTTCATTTACATTGCTTCCTTTTTCATTAACTTGTCCCAGCTTGATCAAGGGAGAGGTAGAAAAGAAATCATTCGTCACCCATCAGGCTGATTTCACAGGAAACCATTATTTACAAATGTGGAGCCAAACTCAACTTGGAATGTGAGCTCTGTAATGGATTTCCAGTGAGTTTTACACCAGTTTGACTGTCCAGAGCTCTTGAACTACACTGAATTTCACAATAGCACATTTCGATAAATATGAAGAATGCAATGTGCAGAGTACCGAGAAATACCTTTACTGTATTTATAGGCACCAAAATGCCCCTGTGAAGTTGTTTGCGATGGTTTACCATCTGCAGAGTTCAATCAGAGCAGCAAGTTAAGGGAAGCAAAGCGGAAAAAGTATCACAGTGATTTAGATAAAGTCAGTCCTAAAATAATCCCAACATTCACACTCGGTAGGTAGTGAAACAATTGCTTTACTCAGCTGAGAGCGTGGAAACCTGAGAGAGTGAGCAGTAACACACTGGTTGCTTCAGAAAGGGCCTGCTACCAGCAGCTTATAACTTGGTCCTTCAAGAACTGGGCTTACTGCAGTAAAATAGTGCTTGCCAGTGTACGTGAGAGAAATGTCAAGTACAGGTAAGACAGTACATAGAAAAAATCACATGTATGGGGTTTCAAATCCATGCCCCCGAGTGCTGTGCATGTTTGGGCAAGCAAATCATGCCGGTTTATGAAGAAGCTGTTTCTGTACCAAGACGTATCATTGATGCTCAAAAATGCCATGACATAATAATGGATAGAATTACATAAATTTAGAAATTAACTTCACAGTGCTATCTCCACATTCTGAATACTCTTATCCATTTATAGCCAGCTTTACTGTTAGATAATATGAACTCCAAGAAAGTTTTACTGAACAAATACATCCTCTTATAGAAAGAGCTAATGCGTTCCCCTGTGCACACAAAATAGTGGTACTATTTTGTTCACACACGTTTTCCTTCACTGACAGAAAGCGTCACATCTTTGAATCATATTTGCTTTATCTGTCTAGTAGGAAAAAAAACATTCCTCCCAGGAACACTTACAGTCAGCCCGGCTCTGATACAGAAGGCTGTTTTAAATGTTCAGTGTTCATTCCACAACCCTAAAATACCTTGCAATAAAAGAAGACTGGAAGACAGAAAGTCAGTATGAACCCAACACCTCCTCTAGAGCATCCGCTGGCAGTCAAGCAAAGAAGGAAGATACAGAGATAAAACGGACCACGTTGCCCAGTGGCTCAAGGCAGGCAAAGTTCCTGCCCTCTGAACTCAGGATTCAGCTGGGGAACCTCCCCGATGCAGGAGAATTCAAAATGAGGAAACAGCCACTTCTAATATGCGGCAAATTTAACTCATCACAAGTTTGCAGAAGGGTCATTATAGTCCAGCTGAAGTTGTATTGGTATGCCACATGGAAACCGAGTAACCCATAGCACTGTCTTTGCTCTCTTATTTTTCCCTTCAGCCTCCTCCCTTCCCCTCTTGTATCAGCACCCAAAGCCATACAGACCTAGAAGACAATCCAGACTGCCTTACAATTTCAGGCAAACAATACAAGATACACATAACAAGTAAAACGCATTAGCTTTTCTGCACTGTATCCTTGTAATTATTTTGGTGTTTATTCTGTTTAACATTTCATGTAGACATTTGTGACTCTTAACAAAGATTAACTTCAGAAGAATCATATCAGTGCTCCTGAATACCATTATCCTCTTATTTCCTTTCACGAATACGCAGCTCTTACCTGTACATGAATAATCATCGATGCGTATATATCCTGTTTTGCAGATGCACATAAAGGATCCTGGTGTATTTACGCACATGGTATTCTCACGACAGTAGTGCCGTCCTTCAGCACACTCATCAATATCTGCAAATAAGGCAAAGGGGAACACGAGTCAAATTCAGCGGTGTTCTTTACAATCTCTCAATACACTGCTACTCACTTCCAATCAGTAGTGCGTTAGAAAACCAAAAAGTTACTTGAGCGGCAATGCATTTTGGAGAGATTTTTGCCTTTCTCCTTTAAAACAACTGCTTGAAGTGTTCAAACAAGAGAAGCAGCATGAGCTTTCTGTGAACAGCTCTTAGTGGAGTTACCAAGATTACATTGGCTTATGTCTTTCCCTTTGAAGTGCCTATGACGTTATTCCTATGATTTAAATAAGAGCAAAAGAAATAACTGGGGTCCTATAGAGCAGACTAACTGCCTTAGCACTGCACTCTCATCCAGCACTGTACCTGTATAGTCACTGCAGTCGTCAGTATATAAACACACTACTGTATGCATACCATATGCCTTTGATCTAACAGGTAGTGTTGTTTGGGAAGGAACTGTAAGGAACATGGTAAGATGTGAAAAGGCACTGAAACTTATAATAAGTTCCTCTTAGAACTATAAAGTACCCAATCGGTAATTTTAATATATATATAAACACATATATCTTTATCTAGACATATCTACTACGTACATATGTATACAGATAAATATACACACACCACATCCGAAAGGAACCTGAAAGAATCTGATTTATATAAAGAAGTTCTCTGATAGAAAAAATAGCAACTTGATAAAATACTTGGGGTGGAATACCTGCTGCTGTATTAAGTCCTAGAGCAAACTCCAGACATAAATCACTGTAGGCATGGACTTCAAAACCTGATTGGTTTTGGTAGTGCCTTGGGCTGCAAAATTAGACCTATTTCTTGTAGCAGGTTAAACTACAGTGGTAAGACAGAGAAAGCACCACAAATAACAACAACAACCAAAAAAAACCCCTCTGCATGCTATTATTATGCTGCAAAGAAAAAAAGCTATATTAATTTGGAAGTGATTAGCAGCACACTGTTCCTGTAATACTAATGATAAAGACAGTGTTACTGAGATGCTCTGTACGTCTGGTTATATTGTCATGCAATGTGCCACTCAACCTTCCTACAAAAGTATGTTAAAAATCAAAGGGGTGGATTGTTGGCTTGTTTTTTTTCCTGCTCATCAGTTTTGATTTCCTCCCTGTTTTCAATGATGTTTACAGCTTTCAGAGTTGCAAATAAAATCTCTGGATGGAAAACAGTGTTGCATTCCAGAGTCTGATGACAGTTCAAAACAATAGACTGGCTATATAAACTCAAATCAGGGTTGACTTCTTAATGCTGTGATGCTAAATGTCAACGGTGTTAACTCCTGTACTTTACTCCTGTTTAGGTCATATGCTTATCTCCCACATCTTCCTCCTCTTCCCAGCATCTTTAAATCAATAGCTACTTACCAACCACACTCATTTCCTGCTTTTTTTTCCCCCCTTTACATTCCCAGCGTAAAATTTGCCTTCCAGTACAAAACAATGCAATGCACTGAATATTAGTGATTCTGTAGTCATATCCTAGTTTCACTATTTTGAAGAAAACTTCTATTTTCACCAGTTTCTCCACCCAGTGCAACTGTTCTGCCGGATTCTGCTGGAGGAGCTGGGGGCAGTTGGCTACAAACCATGAAGGTGTTGACTGTGAATTCTGGTGAGCCCAGGCTGCTTTGCACAAATTCGGGTCCTAAGAGTTTCAAGGCCAGCATACTTCAGCTGGTTTCCTTCCCTTCCTTTCCCTGTAAGATCTGCAGGTATGGAAGAATCATACCTTTATTAGGGTGGTGGTTTGGAAAAGCTAATTTTATAATTTTCATGGACATACACGCCTACACAAATAAATGTGTATTTACAGTGAGCACCAGGAGCATACTAAGGCTCAAAACACATTTTGTGAAAGTCACCAAAGAAAGCAAAAAAAAAAAAAAAAAGTGAAGCTATCACAAGACTACCTCAGGGGCAGCTGGGTTTGTGTGGGAAGTGGAAAATGGCACAGATCTCCTGGCACACAGATATTCTGCAGAAACATAAATGTGCAGGTCACAAAACCAGCCAGCAGTTATAGCATATGCCTCAGCTACTGCCACAAATGATGCAACTTGTGTCTTTCATAGTTCCAGTTCACAACTCCATATTAAATAAATGGTGTTGATTTGTATTTCAGTAACAACATCAGTCTTCAAGTAATTAGAGGCCTTATGCTCTTGGCATCAACAGACTGCCCAGGAGCTGGCTTTGTCACCCTCAGAAAATTCTACTTAAAGATCCAAAGCCTCAAAAATATTAAATAGAACTTTCTGAAAACTATATTATTGATTGCTTTGGCAGGTAAATAGCCACAGGAGACCAAAAACACTAATGGTTTTCATTTTGAGCTACTTTGATTCAAACCTCCTAATTTAGAAGTGTTCTAAATAAAAGCTTTCATTTTGCCAACATACCACATACTGAGGTTTTGCAAAATGTTTTATGTATAACTGCCTTTATTTCAAAACCTTGCTTGTTCAATTGTTACGAAAAAAAAACCCCTCAAACCCACAACTGATCAGGGTAACTTTGGATTGAAGTGTTTCATTTGAAGAACTCTGATTTATTTTTTTTTTCAGACTGATTTGCAAAGATACTGTCCACATCTTTTAAACGCTCACTGGAAAACAAAACTCCTTCCCACACAGCTCACTAGAGAGCCTATACAGAATGCAAAGGAAATAAAGTCATTATTATTACAACTATCACATTATTATATTACATTGGAACCTAAAGACCCTAATCGAGTGTCAGAACTCCACTGCTCTACACCATGGACACACAGCTGATAAGAAGCTGCTTTTACAAACAGTTTGCGATTTTAGCACTAAATTACATCACCACTGGACACACAAGATAATTAATACAAAAAAGGATAAAGTAACAGTCGAATGACAGCGAGTCACACAGAGACTGACCACACTAAAAACATGCAATTCCATTCTCCATTTAGCACTGCATTTGCAAGCTTTGTATACCTTAGGTTAAGGTATTGCAGATCAAGGAAGACTGAACTGGGGCAGGGAAAGAGCCCAACATCTGTTCTCTTCCAAAGCTACCAAAATAAAAGCCTTTTCATCCTGCTTACTGGTTGAAACGCTGGTGTAGCCTTTTATTCACCTTTAGACACAAATGCACTGAGTACAAGAGAAAACCTGATGCATTTCAATATCTAAGAAAGCCTACAACATTTATCTTAATTTTCCCCTGCCAAAAAGCCTAGTTAGCATATTAATGCACATTAATGTCTTTCTGTTTAGCCAGTAAGATGCTGAAGTCAGTCAGTTCAATAGGGTGAATGCACCACTCCAATGGCTCTACACACTCAACAATAAAGACTTGTGTGCTTGAAGCCTATGATGTGATACTGAGCCACCAGCTGTGATGTACTGACAACAACGTAGTCATGGAGATCATCAACCTGCTCTATTCCCAGTGGAACAGATAAAAGAGGCATCTCTGGGAAAATTGGTTAGTGCAAAAGGGTTTGGAATCTGCACTTCAATGATTTATTTATACTTGCAAAAACATCAAAACAACAACAACAAAAAAACCCTTTTCTTTATTCCCCCCCCCCCCAAGCACTCAAACAAAATTTATGCAAAATATATAATCCAGGAAAAGTTTCCCTGTATCCCTTCCTCCTGTACCCTAATGAGTTTGCTTCCCCAGAGAGAAATTCCCAGTTATGTTTTACAATCCCATTAATAAGAAGAGAATTTGACCTGCAATCTATAAATCATTGTTGACCTGAGCCTCATGCTAACAAACAAAGCCTCTCCCTAGGCCTCACTATCCATCATTGCCTTTATCCACCACAAAAGCCTGCCAGGACAAATGAGTCTGGTACTAAGTCAGTAAATCTGGGCTATAAAGCAAGTAGGCGATTTCCAGAACTGAAGATCCTTTGGATAGTGTCCTGCCTCCAGCCATTTCCTTTAAAACTCAATGGCATCTAGCATCAGTGATCTCCCTGGTCACGCTTACAGAGGCATATGGCGGGCAGGGAGATGTTCATGCAGGATTTTTGCAACAAATAATATTAAGGACCTAGGAAGAGAGCAAACAGGAGCATAAAAAGCTTTATTTATAAAAATTTACTTTATGAGTGCATCAAAAATTACCCTGAACACAAAGGCAGAGTAGATTAGACCTACAATTTAAAAACAAAACAAACAAAACGCCATGGGTTTTGTGTTAATGAAAGGTTCTGTCTTCACAGCCCAGAAATATGAAGCCCCACATTTACCTGCTGGAGAGGGCAATGCTTTTTCACCTCACCCACACAACTTCCACCAGCAGATTTCCATTCTGACCTGAAGGCTCCACTGCTAAGAGCAAGGGTATCATTTACCCACCATTCCTGCAAATCATGGACCTCTCTGCTGAGAATCCCAAGGATGGATGCCAGTAATGACGGGCACCATAAAGGGCCTTCAGGCCCTTATTTTATCACTACTGACCTGACTCATATAGAAATACGCAAGCTGGGAAAGGTTGAGACTTTCTCATCTGGTCCCTGACCTAGAAAAAAGGCATTACAGGATGAGCAGATGTCACCAATTAAAGGGAAGATGAAGAGTGACCAATCACAGCAACCAATACCATTGAAAAAGGTAAACATAGATTTAAAACCAACACAACCTGTCCTGCACTCTGGACAGAGTCACAGAGGAAAGAAAGTTCTGTCCTTTTTCTTCCTCTTTGTCTTCCTTCCACTGACAACAGCCCTTCGTTTCTCTGCTCTTTTCCTCCCTCACCCACTTTCTACCTGAGTAAGTTCAGTCCTGTCTCCAGATCTTGCTCACCTTGTCTCGCCTCCTTAAAGGAAAAAGGATAAACCATAACTTCCTTAACTTTGAAGCAACCTCCCACCAGCTTACCCATCTGTGAAAGCACTGGGTTTTTTCCTTTCACCACCAAACACACTAACTCATCCTCAAACTCTTCCTTCCAACTTGCTTGAGTGTTTTGTACATTA